AATAAATACCAGACGTATGTTACAATATTAATGAAATGTCATAGTAAATTGATGTTCACTTTGAACCAGAGGAGACAAAGAAAGAAGACATAAGAAAAGAGAAGGCCTTTTGTCTTGTCCCCAGAATAATTCCTCTAGGAAATTAATGCAAGGGGTCTAAGGTGGAACAAACAGTGTTAAGGTCACATAAAATATACATAAGCCAACTAATTAAATAAACTCTGCCAATATAAAAAAAACTCAACTAGGAAGTCAGTCATCATGTATTCCCCTCATGCCCAGGGTCCCCAGTTTCCGTTCCTCTTCCCTTGCGTGACTTGACCACAAGGTTTAATAGTCGTGCCTATTCAGTTTACRTCCTCTTGTGGGTTGCCATTTGGCCTCCGTCCATGCGCCTGCTCAATATTTGTTCATTACGAGCATAACGGCCAACAGTAATTTGACCCATCCCGTGACTTGTATGAGACGTGGCCGTGAGGTTGCCTGATACAATATTGGCCATAGCTTGAATTGTAGGTCTTCCTAGGTTCCTGACAGGAACAATATATCCAACCAGGAACGTCGACCAGGAACGTCGACCAGGAACGCCAATGCAGGCAAACAATTAACCAATACAATTGACTTTACTTCAAAATTAATTTTCCTAGATTCATTTGCACCGGGTGCTAGTGTACGATGCCTCAAAGACACCATGTACATCGACCTAAAGAAAAATGCCTTGAGTGGATACAGTGAACTTGATCTGACCCTCGCCAACAGTTCCTGTAGAGCAACTGCAAATCAAACTCACTACACTTTAAAGGCACCACTAATGGGGTGTGGAACAGTGACGAAATTCACCGATGAGGCTGTGGTTTACAGTAACGTAGTCAAAGAGTACCGTAGAAAAGGCATGATCACTCGTATTCAAGACATAAGRATACCGTTTAGCTGTTTTTATACCAAGGAGGGTGTGACGTCTACGTTTGGACTCCTGCCAACAAAGGTATTGATCAGTGAACCAATAAATGACAGTGTTTAATTTGGACTGTATAATTCCAAGACAATTTTTATTTCCCCCCTTTTTCCTCTCGTACATGAGAACCACGAGAGGTTTACGCTCCCAATGCGCCGCCCCTTTACGCTTTGCTCGTGGGTTCATCCCTCGTGATCGTCATTGTTTGGAATCATCATCGATCGTCATTTCCAGTTTTCCACCCTCCGCAAACAAATAACTTGAAATTAAAATTTGATGACATGGGAAGCCCACCTGACGTTAATAACTAGGAGAATCCTTTTTAAATTGTTTTGTTTCCATGCTAATGGAACCAATTTGTCTTTYCTTCTCAGGTACGTAAAATATTAGATGGTGGAAATTCTACAACGAAATTTGAACTTGGCATGTCCCTGTATCGTGACGAGTCATTCTCGTTAGCATACGGTATTGGGGACTTCCCGTTAAAAGTGACCGTCAACAGACCTCTGTATGTACAAGTAAGCATTGATTCTCCTGACAAACGTCTTTCGGTTATGGCTGACCGTTGCTACGCGACACCAACACAGAACCCAGACCATGTCATGCAGTACGACATCATCAATGATGGGTAAGGATTGTCGTTTGAATGCTCACTTAAAAATCGTCGTATGATTTGTAACTATAAATTCGTAGCAGTAAAGTATTGAATTGAGTGCGGAGCAGCACCAACCACAGCATTCTAAAACCTCACTGGAAATCAGGTGTTAGCCAGATCTAGCTTGTATTGCATTTGGTGCATTGTTTTGTCACTCTTTTTTTTCTTAAAAAACATAAATTTGTTTATACGACATAGATGCGCAGTGGATCCAACGGTGCAGTTCTATAAAGGAAGCTACAACGTCCAACGATACAGTTTTAAAGCATTTCAATTCATTGCGCAAGGGCGACAGTTTGTCTACATACACTGTCATCTCATCGTGTGCAACGCATCGAACGCGGCTTCACGATGTTYACAAGGATGTTTGTCAAGTCTTGGAAGATTGAGACGTAGCGTTAGTTCTACAACAGAGGTGGATCTGACTCAAGGACCGATTRTTATGGAAAACCGACCTAATGCTTTAGGGCAAAAGTCATTTGGTAAGTTTTATCATCTCAGTATCATCTCTGGAGTTAAGGAGAAAAATGTCCTATTTTAGCGTGGTATCTACTTTGCCATCACTGGTCTTGTTTCACAATTGGAGCTTTTGTTTGAAGCATTTTTGCAACGTTTATTGAAGCTTTATTCTATTCTATCAACTCTATTTGTGTTTTTGCATTATTTCATTATTGGGGTTTGTGTGACTTCATAGCTGCCATGTTTGTTGAATTTAGCGGTTTGCTCCTGGTTTCTTTCGTTCTTGTGTCCTCTACACGCCACCTATAACTATACTCGTAACTGATCGACTTTGTACCTTTGTAATCACTCAAAAGGGCGCATTTAAAGTCCTAACTTATTGGAAAAGGGATATAAGTAATCAGAATGGAATGGTTGTGCAAAGCTCTTGTACTTAGCCCTGAATTTAAGGAATTTATGGCCATCTTGGTATTCCGCTTTTTATCTATAACCATGTATTTGAAGTCCATTCTACTTTCTCTCGCCATCTTCTGCATTCGTTACGTATTTGACCTTGTCCTTTTTGTATAATCCAGCCCTCGGCTAGCCATTTATCGACTTTCCAATATTCAATTTAATTTTGCTTTCATTTTTTTCAGGTTCCTCTTTCCAAAAGTATGTTTGGATAATGGTTGGCATGGGAGGGTTTTGCATCATTTGTCTAATCATAATGATGTACATGAAGAAACAGATCAGTAATCATCGCAAGATACCACAACCTGACCCTGACAGAGAAACGAATGTTTGATCCAACCAACATGGTCATTGACGTTTGCCTTGTTAGATTATAGCTRTTGTGTATTGCTTCCCCAAAGTAAATCGCGCATATTGATGGTTTTCAACCATTCCCAAGWGAACTAAATAACAAAAGACACGGCGGCCTTGTTGGAGGATATAACAAAAGAATTCATTGACAATTCTTTTGTTAAGTTCCTCCAACATGGCCGCCGTGAAAACCATCAATTATAAAAATGAACTATGATGACAGTATACGACAGCGCTTTGCCAAACTCTACAGCTAATCAAAAAAATGTTAGTTATGGTGTCGTTGAATATTGAATGATGTTTACCAAGCCGAAAGTGCACAGTTATGGTTTACGAGAATTAATTCAACGAATGGTCAAAAAATATGGAATTTTCGCAAACTATGTCGACCGTAMGTTTTTCCGTCGTAGTTTCTTCCTAGCTAACAAACACATACTTTACACATATGATCCGCCATGCATTAGAAACTTGGTACATAAAATGCAACATACCCTTCACCAATATTTTTTGCAATAGTTGTATCATTCCACAACTGCTTAAATGACGACTGTATGTTTTTTCAGCCTCCTTATCAGGTTGTTTAAAATGAATATATTATAACGGGTGTAGCCTAAAGACCAATATTGAAGCAGTTCTAATACAGTGGTTGACCATTTATTCACCCTATAACGTTTGCTTGATATTATTTCAAAAAACATCAATGAAAAGAAACCAACATGGCCTATATGTTGGTTGTCGTATCATTCTCTTAGAAATGGTGGCAGCCCATCTATTGTGGCAAAAATGAGGAACGCTGCGGCAAAAGACCTCTTCGGCTTGGGGTAATGTTTTCCCATTTCAGACCACGTGTCATTCCCTTGAGAATAAGATTCTTTGTTTGAGCTGTATCCATATTCATGTGTCTTCTCATGTTCAACCGAGCGCAAACCTTAAACAAAGAAATTATACTCTAGAGAATGACACGTGGTCTGAAATGGGAAAACATTACGTCAGAGCCGAAGAGGCCTATTAAAATCTCTATTCGACATCACTAGTACCATATTCGGTGACCTGTAATTTACATTGTATGGTGTGAAGGCTCCTTGGACAAAAATCATAGATATAAAGATATTGACCAAAATAAACCAAAATAACATGCTACAAAAAATCAATTTTTCTGGGTTCGTTGATCACAAAACGCGTTTTTGGAGTTGAATGTGATAAGAGACTAATAAACAAGTCATGGACGGTAAGATACTGGAATGGACCAAATCCACTTGGGCGTAATGTTATTTTTACTGGGTTTCCTGGGGCAGCCCAGTCGTAAAATGCCTTTGTTTTTTTTCCATCTCACGAAAAGTGCATTTTTGCGCAAGAGTACTCATTTATGGATTTGAATGATGTGTTCATAGATTAATGGCTCATACGCTGGCTTAGCAGCTGAGGCTGTAACACCGGGCTTTAGAAGTAAAATTGAGCGGTAAAATAAGATTTCTAGAATTGTAATTCACATATTTATTAGAATTATTACAGCTACTCGGTCGGCTGTATTCTGGCTTCAATCGTGTGGGTTAGTAGAGCCTAAAAGAGAATACGACTTTCAGTCTTTTTAGTCAATATGAGACATATACATGAATTTATCGTTAAATACTACGCGGTAATAGAGCTGGTTACTTTGACCGTAAGTACTTTTCGCATTAAAGTTTTGAATCTTTTTACTAACCGAGTTTAATTCCACTTCACTGGTTTGGATATTTWAAAAAACTATATTCGAAGAATATGATTGATAATGGAGAGATCGTGAACTTCAGAACCGTTAGAAAAAAACAACAAAAAACAACCATTTAAACACATTTATAAACGAATTAGAGTTCCTGAAATATCGTCAGACGCGACGAGTCAGGTCAAGATTCTTGTGTAATTCAGGTGTATAAAATATACATACACCTGAAATATTCCAAAGTACACCCTCTCCCCAAATAGCGGTACATAAAAAATGTTAGTTGTTAAATAAGCTCCAGCATACCCGCACATTGCGCAACCCAGTGCACGCTCTTGTTTTGATTTGAATCAAGTCCCTCACGGTCCTATATGATGATAAAAACCAGGGAACCTGCAACTGCGGGGTTCAAWATACGATGTACTGATCCACACTCTTGTGTTTTCATGTTTATTTTTTCGTCAAATTTCCTATTGACAGATACTTTGGGCAACTAGATGGCGTAAAAGGAATGAAATTAATGGAATCGACTGAAATTAGTTCCTTCCAAATTTCGAGTGCTGTGATCTTCGCAAACCTCCGACCTCGTACTCCTTCACACGCTTCAGAGCGACGCCTTCTGTCGATGCAATATCTAAAATAAGCTTACTTGGTGTACCTTTGGAGTGTTGCGATCTTTGTAAAACTTGCTACTCCACACTGCTTCGCACGCTTCAGAGAGACGCCTTCTGTCGATGTAATTTCTAAATTTCAATCCCCGTGGTAGATCGCCTTCACCTTATTTTAAGTCATATTTTGTCAGATTTTCACTTTAGGTTACTGGAGACCTTCGTTGGTAGTTTTTCAAAAAAAAACCAAAAAACATACAGGAATAGGTTACTCAAAATTATAAACTTTCACTATTCTATATCTTCTGTTTTTAAAAATCAAAAAAGAAAAACGGGAAAAAAGTAGCAAAAGCGTGAGCAGGTATAATGTTTAGGTCACCCATCCAAGTGCTAACTCTCCTCGGGCGAGCTTGACTCAGTCTCTCGAACGACAACGATTTATCCACTGGACCACGGTTCCAGGTGAATCA